ATATATATAAATTTTCATTAATCATTCAGGTATTTGACAAAAATAAACAATAGACTGTGTGTATATACAGTACACTCTCAGAAAAAAAAAACACAAAAACAAACAAAAAAACAAGTACTTTTAGTGGTACAGCAGCATGTCAGTGGAAAGCACCCTCAAAGGGACAACTTTGTACCTTCTTAACCCCTAGTGTTCATAATAGTACCATAAGAGTACACATCACTAACTTAAGGGTACATATTGAGGATACTGCCCTAGTGACAAGCTGTTGTAGCCCTAAAGGTACAATCTTTGTTGACAGTGTATATTAAAATGTCTCTAAAAATCAAATCTAAAATTCCATGGTCCAAATATTATGCCATATATGCCATATAATTGCATACATTGTTATGCAATAATATGCCACTTAATTGGATATTTTCTGCATGTACATGTTTAAAATGTCATAATTCAGTATACTGTGAGGCTACAGAGACAGTGTTGTTACTGAAATGTTTTTGTTTGATTTAAAACTAAAGTAAGCGTAAGCATGCAGTGCCAAATGTGTTAGGGAGGGCTCTTGTGGTAAGCGATAGCATTACAATATACAATATACAGATTTTAATAGTTTCATTTATTGGTTTATTTACATATTGACAAACATCTTGATATAATTATCAGTGCATTCGAAATAAGTAGTTTAGGCATAAAATTTAACAGACATTAGGAATATACAATATTCACAGACATCAGTCCAGTAAAGAATACATTCAACGTAAAGTTCCTCCATATATCAATACTGCACCCACAGATCCTCTTTTAGCCTATGTGAGGGAGCAATGTTTTGTGTTTGGTTTTGCCTTCGAAGTGTGTGTGGTTAAGGATGTTTATTTCTATTCCTGTGGTTAATGACAATTATATGGAACCGGTGATGATTTTGTTTAGCAGGTCATGTGATGAGGCCTCAGAGATATTGAGGAACAGATATATTTTCAATATTAGATCACTTGTAAATTCATAAAATTTAATGCATCAGTTCATTTTTAAGCCAGTGTGAAAGACACTAATTTATTCATAAACACTAGACTGCAGAAAGCATCTCTTGCCCCACCAACCTGAAGCAGGAATTTTCATATCCTTGTATGATTTCACGTACTTATATGATGGTTCTTTTTTAACAATGGCATTTGGTTTCACTAATTGAGGTAGTATAATTGATATGATCAGGGCCGGATTTACCACTTTTCGTGACATAGGCAAAACAAATTTTTGGGCCCCCCTTCCCTATTCATATAATAGGCCTAATATTACAACCCAAGCAAACAAAAATATTTCTTAATCAGTGAAATCCGTTACAGTGTTTTCTATCGCAATAAGCGCTTGCGTTCAGTCAATAAAAATCGAATGTAGTTCTTAATTTGTTTGAGAACTGAGAAAGACCATTCCTCCTGAAGTGTGTTGAACTTTTTACGCACCTCATTGCAAACCTTCCGTTGCAAATTCCAAAACGTAATTTTAGCGCTAATAACAGAAGCTTGAGCCATTGATATGCAGGCTAACGCAGTTATTAATGCAGTCTAACGCAGTTATTAGATAGAGAGAGCGAAAGAGAGAGGGAGAGATTAAGTGCGTGTGAATACTTGCGTCTGTGCGTCTCTCAGCAGTATTCAGTAGCAGCGTCTACTAATAGCGAATCTTTAAGTTGAACTGCTTCAAGAACCTCGCTACTGAGAAATGTCATGTAGCTTTTCAGCTGCGAAACTATTTTATTGATAAATTCGCAGGGCAGCCGCAGCTCTGACAAGAAGTTTCTGTTCGCGTCTCCGCGTGTGTGCACGAGTGCGTGTCTGTACTGTGTGTGCGTCTGTAAGAGAGAACGGGAGAAAGAAAGCTGATTTCCGTACATAAATGGTTGAAGACATGGAAATAGTTTGTCATTTTTACCCTATTGTTTGTTATATTCATTTGCTCAATGTCTTCTGGTGTGTTGGTTCTTTTACCGATATGATATAACCACAACAAATGTATTATATGGTACAATGCATGAATAAAGACTGAACATCTTAAATGATAAGCACAATATTTACAAAAAGGATAAAAAAAAAATTGTTGCGCGTCCCATCTAAACTTGTGTACTTTTGGTAGGAGATGTAAAAAAAATAGCTGTGTATGAAGTTTCATTCTCTGAAACTTTGGATTGTGTAGATGTCGATTGGTAGGTCTTCACACACACAAGATATCTTGAAAACATACTTACTAGGCATTTCCTAAACTTTTCTCCAACAAAAGCATAAATGACCGGATTTACACAGCAGTGAGTGAGTGCGATTGTCTCTGTCAAGTCCATGGCCATGTTGATATGAAGATAAGCCTCGCAGCTAGTTAGAATGCCAAACTCCTGCAAGGTTTTCAGGAACACCACCACATTGTAGGGCACCCAGAAGACCACAAACATGATGACAATGCCTAAGATGAGCTTTATGGCCCGTTCCTTTTTTGAGTTTTTTGTCTTTTTCACAACCATTAGGACCCTGGTGTAGCAGTAGGCTAAAGTGGGCAAAGAGATGAACAGTCCTACTGCATTTTCACCAAAGTTACGGAAGAGCTTCCACTTTTGGGCTGACCCAGCAGGATAAACTCTCTGACAGCTGGTGATATTGTCCTCTGTGACCATTGCTGCAAAGATGGCCTCTGGAAGGGCAGCACAGATCGAAACCATCCATATAAGGAGACTAACTATAATTCCGTAACGCATCATCTTCGCTCCCAGCACTGCAATAGCATGTACGATGACCAAATAGCGATCCATGCTCATCAGGGTCACAAATAAGATTCCGCTGTAAAATCCCACTTGGTATGTACCCACCATTGCTTTACACATTTCATTGGCTTTTAAGTAGTGGCCCTGAACATAGAGAGCCCAGGAGGGCAGTGAGAGGACCATTAGTAGGTCTGACAGAGCCAGATTCAGCAGGCAGAGATTTGTCATATTTTTCACGTGCATGATTTTCAAGAGGACCCATAAGACGGTGATGTTGCCAATAAGGCCGAGCCCAAAAACCATGTAGAAAATGGCAGCCTTGAGATCTGGATTCAGCTGTGAATCTTTAGTCTTGCAGGTTTCTGTTTCGTAGTAATCGAAGGTTGTTGTATTCATGCTGTAACAAATAGCAAATTTTATTTAAAAAGTTAAAAGTAGTTTGAAAAACACACTATTTGTACTAAATGTAGTTGTACTTGAACACAATGAATAAAACTAGTAACATGCCACTTATATCATATAGGGATTTTTTTCAAGCCGCATTTATGTGCAATAATGGTGTGAAAGTTGATGTCAGTAAGTTGCAATGTGTTCTTTAGCAAATCTCCATCATGGGGACTTCTATAATTCTGGAAATTAAGAGTTGGAAGGCACATGCCAATTTATTTAACATAAATTAACCATAATAATTTGTAGAGAGTAAATTTATTTCATTGCTTAATGGTTGTACAACAGACAAAGTTTCATAATAATGTAATAGCATTATAATGGTAGGCCTGATTAATAATAATATGTAATAATAATAATATTCAGGTAGGCCTGAATAATAATAACAATAATAAACCTGATTAAGGTTGTTACGAGTGGCACATGTTCAATAGGCAAGCATTTAAAAATGCTTTTACAATTTTTAATACAAAATTTGACAGTAGAAATTATTTGAAGTCAAACCTCAAAACTACCACATGCAGACCACATTGTTTTCAAATATCATTATGCACAAACAGAAGGAGGTCGCAGCACGTTGATTAACCACAGGTTTTTCAAGCATCCCACCGCAATCCCACTATCATACATCAATATCTGTGATCTCATGTAAAATTTTTGTAAATTACAGTACTTGCGCAATACAGTCAAGATGTTCTACAATACTCAGTAGAAATACTGAGTAGAAATCCCTTGTATGTGATATAATAATTGAATTAAAAAAAACATTGAATCATTGAATGTAATATATTGGGCTGTTCTTAAGGAACAGGGTTATGCTCTTGAGTCGATCTCCAGAATTTATCAAAATGTATTAATGATGGATCAAAACACAACATGATGAAAATCTAATAAATAAATATTCTGTTTACCTCTCTGTATATGTTTCATTCATGATGACAAATTGCTGTCACTCTTGTTGTTGAGATGTTGTTAAGACTTAGTTCATATGTTCATGGAAGTGAGTCCAGTACATTTCACCCTCTTTCTGTACATTTGCCTTCAGCAAATTTCCTGTTAAATGAAGCCTGTGCATGTGTGAGTGTGCTTTTTTGCAAAATTTAACGTGCGACGAGAAGGTGAGATGTGAACACATTTCCTGTCACCGCACTGAGGTAATCAGGTTTGGATGCACAAAAGAAATTCCCTGGGAGGAGATAAAACAATAATTTTGAGTCATTTGAGGTTGTGTCAGCTACTGAATGAACTCTAATAAGTCCCCCCACCCACAGCGAATGTCTTGAAAAGGACAGTTTATATAGATAATGTACAAAACCAATGCCATCCCACACCAATGAATGATATGTCTGTAATGCTGAAAAAACAATGTTTGTGCTCTTTTCTCCTTCAACAGTGAGTCAGTTTTCAGGAATTGAAAAAAATGAAGAACAAGTGAAACTAATGCTTATTCTTGGAAAATTAATTATGGGTTTCAAGATTGTGTCCCTTTTTCTGGCTTGTCGTATATGCAAACTTTTTATATGCAAACCTTTCAGGTTTATCAGGCTCAAAACAGAGAGTACTCTCAAATTTTCAAAAATCTCAATTATCAAAACTCTTGAATAAAATTAATTAATTAAATAATTAAATAGTTACTACAGTTTTTCTCGATTGCTAAAACACTATAACCAGGCTTTTGAACTAAAATTTCAAAACCATAATGCCATTTATCAAAAAGCACACCCAATTCCCTAAACTCTAAAAACGACTCCCCTGTTTTGACACGAGTCAGATTTGTTGAGCTGTCACTGCAGAACTCTACACACAAATCCCTTACTTTCTTACTGCGTACACCATGTGGTCATTTTGAAAGCACTAGCATTCAATACTCTTCACTCCAGTCAGCACAGCTTGAGCTCAATTAGCACATAATTCGAGTCAAAATTGAACACACATAAATCAGATCCTTCAATAGATAGATAAAAGGGCCTGAATCAGTTCATTGAGTTTTGGAACAATGGATCCACAGAGAAATGAAGAAATAGATCGAGGAGGAGGAGGAGGAGGAGGGGCAAGGGCAAGGAGACAAACAGTCTCAGATGAAATTCGAGCCACTTTAGTTGACCATGTCCAAGTCCATGGTATGACTATGAGGGAGGCTGGGCAACGAGTACAGCCAAATTTGAGTCGCTTCACCGTCGCCTCCATCATCAGAACCTTCAGGGAGGAAAACAGGTAGGTGTACTTACAGTAAGACTGCTCTGTACAGTAACTTTAGAGTGCATACACTGTTGCACTATGCTACTGTAATAAAGAAATGCATCAAATTGCCTCGCATACAGATAGAGTTTCAGTATGTTTCCATTTTTTCCTGTAAAAAGGATGTGTGACAGTTACAGTAATGAGTGCTTCTATTTTTGTAGAACACAGAGACGACCACCTAGTGGAGGCAGGCTAAGGCTTTTGTCAGAGGAGCAAGAGAGGGAGCTTGTAAACATGGTCATTGCCAATAATGTAATCCGCCTGCGAGAGATTCAAAGGAGAGTGATTGAGGATACTCATCATTTTCGAGGGATTACAGTTTTTCTGAATTGCTAAAACACTAAACCCCAATCTCTGAACCAAATTCTCATTAGCTTAAACCAATTTGTCGAATAAAGCACTCTTTCTGCTAAACCTTAAACACGTTCAGGCAGTTCGGCTCTATTTGCAAATCTCATGCACTCTTTTTGCAAAACTCTAAACACATTCTCATTCACTTAAACACTTATCACACTTGTTTCTAATGATGTGATCAAACCAACTTTACAAAATATGAGCCAGTTCAGAGTCCACAACTGGCACAGTTGACTGAATGATGATACGAAGAATAGATGGAAACAATCTGAGAAGGTGAGGAGCAAGAGTATATGTAAGAAGTGGAGGATGAAGAGAGAAAGAGTAAGGTTTAGGGAGTGTTATCAAGGTTGGATCTGTCAGACCAGAGGGTTTTTTTCTCTTTGTCTAGCAAAAAAGAAAACATTACTTGTGATGTGGACAATGTCCTCAGGCCGGACTCAAGCACAAAGACATGATGCTGAGACAGAATGAATCTCTCATTGACCCTGATTTTACAATTGCACAACATACAGTATTTGAGTGTACTGTAACATGCTATTCATTTAGAGTTTTACAGTTTTTTTCAACTGCTTACACACATTTTCAAAACTTTGCCTCTTTTTTTCAAAACTTTACACACAAATCCAAGAATTGCACACACAAAATGCAAAATGCCTCACATCACTTGCAAAATTAAGCACTGCATTCAAAATATCACAAATACATTTCAAAAGCAAACATTTGTCTTTTGTTGCAAACACCTTTGCCATAATATTATATTTTTGGATATATCATATACACACAGTTATTCAAAACCTAAAGCTCTTCTTTCATGAGCTCCTACGTACATTTCTGTTCAAGATTTAAAGCAATTGGCAGAGAGATTCACGGTAAACACGAAAGCAAGATTGAAACCAAACATTTTTTACTTTAAGCATTTGTGGTTGTGAATACAGTATTACTCAGAACAAAAGAAAAGAAATACATCAACCATGTGTAGTTGTGTATATGTGTATTTATAGGCCTATTCTAAAGCCATGATTGCTTGGTGTTAGGTAATGCAACAGGGGAGGCACAGCTTCCCCAAAATTTTGAGGTGAAAATGAGAGGAGGACGATTTAATGTTAATAAAATGCACAATTCATTTCAATTCATGTCTTAGAATGTGTACCGTATTGACCCGAATATAAGACGATGTTTTTTTCTTGGAAATAAAGGTCAAAGGTCGAGAATTAGTGTATGGTTTTGCAGATTTGCTGTGTGGTTCTGGAGTTTGAGTGTCAGGTTTCAGAAATTGTGTGACAAGTAAAGATTTTGTGTGTAAGCAGTTATTCAGTGCTATTCAATATTCACCACAATACTATTCTTGCAGTACATACAGTAGGCCTATACAATATATTCACCTTACTCAGTTGCAATTGCTATACTTTTTTACAGAATTGAAAAATTGTTTACTCAATACAATATACTTTTTTTCTGTAATGTTGTGAATGCTGTGTTCTCCATTTTTCTCTGTAGAGTCTAATGAATGCTCTGTAGTGTTTTCTTTATTGACTCGTGTGTGTGTGTGTGATCTGAGAGCACCGTTTGATTTTGAGTGCAAGAGAAATGGTTTTGCAGTGATTGTATGATTTTGATGGAAGAGTCAGAGGTTTTCGTGAATTTAGTTTGAGTATTTGGATTTGTGTTTAAGGTTTTGAGAAAA